TCCTCCTCCCCTTTTTTCCTCCTCGTTCCTGCTCATTCCTCCTCGTTTTTCTTCCTCCCTCCTCCCTCCTCCCTCCTCCCTCCTCCCTCCTCCCTCCTCCCTCCTCTTTCCTCCCCCTCCGTCCTTCTTCCTCCTCCTTCCCCCTTCCTCCCCGTCCTTCCTCCTGCTCCTTCCCCCCCTTCTTCAAAACATTGCAGAGCCATTGTCATCAAGTGTGAATCTGTTTGATGTAAAGTGCACAAACTGCAGAAAATTCATCATTGGTTTCTGTCCGCCGACTGCTACTTGTTGACACTTGCGCTTCACAGGCTGTCACAAACGGAGCGGGAGCAAGGACAACTATCACAAGTACAGGAGTGGTGGGTAGCAGCCAAGAGAGACCTGGAGAAGTAGCACTATCTAATGTGTCGCACTTGTTGCGTGAGCAGATGAGCCTGTCTGGAAGGGCAGACCAGGAGTTGATGGATTGGTCTGTCAGACGGTTGACTAATAGCCAGGATCATTTGAAGACAGTTGTGCATGCATCAAAGCTTCCGGTTGGGGCTATGTCAAGAGAAGGGGATGACAGTGCAAATGAGCCCTCGAAGTCGATGACGGATGGGGCAGCGCATTCAGAGATGAGCACTGTGCATCCAGTAGGAATGGTGATGGACAGCAGCCAGCTGAGACCGCTTTCGCCTTCGTCGTCAGCGACATGTGAACAGCCAAGGGGAGAGAACTGCCATGACGGAGAAAGCGTCTTTTCGTTTAATCCTGTCGAGGAAATGCACGGTGACGGAGAAGTGGAACAACCAGTAGCTCCGCCAGGCAATGTAAACGTACAAAAGACTGATAGGAACAGAGGACACGAACGGGGAGAGGGGGATATCCTGGGTGAGAGAGGTGGTGGCGATCAGCTCGTCGTGGAGTTGCAGGAGGGTGTACCCGTAGTAGCAGGAGAAGGACAACATCACGAAGGAATGGTGGTTGATGCACAGCTGTACCCAGAAGATCTGTTGTCCGACGATGGCCTGTTGGTTCGACAGAGTGCAACTCTCAGTCCAGATATAGATCAAGGCAGACAAAGTGGTGCCGCGCTTCAACTTCCACAGGGGGGAGGACAGAGGGGTGGTGCTCCACTAACCCAGGATTGCACTGGAAACCTCAAGGCTGAGGGGTTTTATGTGCGGGAGAGTGTTACGGAGCTGAATCCCGAGGGCAAAGACGACAGACAATGTGTCGGACAGAGGAGAGGCACGATTCAGGCCCTCCAGAGCCATGGAGCCGACAATTGCAAGCATGGTGTTGAAACGGTTTGCGACAATGATGGCGGTCAGCGGAGCTGTAGCAGCAGCTGCTCTGGGCTAGATATCGAAACTGCCTCGGGCCCAATTGACGCACAGGGCACTGGTGTGGCACTACGTCTTCCCGAGGTGAGATATTTTCTTTCTTTGGCCCGAAAATCATGTGGCTCACACTGGCTGTTCGGCAGGCATGTTTAAATAATCCAAAAATAGAATCAAATGATTTATTAGAACTTAAATACGTGAATGAAAACGAATGCCAGCATTGAAGTTATATCTTGGGATGATGGCAAGATCTGTATTATACTATTATCTTGGTTTCCTAAATGGCCTACTGCTGAAGTTATTGGAGGCAAGTTAGTAGCCCGCACCTTTGTCACTGTGCTACCGTCTTCACCTGAATAGAATGTCCGGTCATTATAGCTGTATTTGGCACAACTTTCGGTCCAGATGCAGCGATAATGACCGGGCGCTCTATTCGGGTGAAGACGGTAGTCAGGGCCAATGAGTCGGCTCTTTATTTTCCTTGCATGCTCAGGGTAGCAAAAGAGCAACTGAGGGGTTTGTCTCTGTTACGATCCTGGCTATTCCGAAGTGCAAATACACAATGAAAGACAATGCCGTTCAATTGTAAGAGAAATGAAAGAACTTGGAAAGAGAAAGAGACGAACGAAGAAAAAGAAATAAGAAAGAAGAAGAAGAAGTACACCAGCATAAGACCAATGAGAAATCCCCCTTCTCGCGCCACTCGCTCCACCCTCCTTATATCCCCCAATCTTATTCTTCAATAAATAATAATAATAACAATGAATGGCTTAACGAGACCCAATATCCGAGTCTCCCTCTTTCTGCCAGCACTGCATGAGGTCCACCATAGCCACAACCGTCATCCTCAACCACCTCCGGTAGGTGGCGGCTATGGCGAACTACTAGGGGTCCTGCCCGGATGTTCAAAAGACAACGCAAAAGCAGATGTCCTCTGCAGCTCAGACCGCCATGCTGACACTGTCCTGAAGCCTTCTTGATGCAGTAAACCCCCACTGGGGCCTTCCAGGTCCAACGCCTACCAACGAGATGAAGATGACGTCCACCATAGCCAGGTAAGTACCTCCGGCCACTCTTCTCCTCAATGCCTTCTTCCTCCTTCCTGGTTCTGTCCACCATAGCCAAGGTGGAAGGCCAGGCGCTCCTCCTCCTCCCAGTGCTCCTCCTGCAGA